GAAAAATCACCTGATTTCAGTACAATTCAATTGAGAATATCAATAACACGAATGAGAATGAAGTTTAGGAACACAGTCATACCCACACGTGGAGTTGCTGAACGAAAACTCTTCAGGTCACACATGTAAGCTATCGCTAATAAATGGGCGCTGTCTGGTTAAATGAGATCGCATGAGTGTGTGAAAAACGTCTACTACCGATTTCTAAGACAAGCTTTTAAATCTGGTTCAAATTACAGTGGAACCTCTCTACTATGGACCCCAAAATGGCCCAATTGGACAAAGACGCGAGTCCATGTTCAGAGGTACAAATTAAATAAGTTCTGATTTCTCTGGTGTCTGTATATCATGGAGGTGTCCGCAAGAAGAGATTCTACACTACCTGTATTCATGGAACAAATGTACCTTCCACTCACACTTCTCCTTACAATGTTGAGTGAATCACGTTCAGTTCATATCAAAAATCATTTTTATCAACATTCACAGGAGGGAAACGTTGTGTCGCAGAAACTATCGGTAGTTTTTTTTAGAAAAAACATCATTTTCTGTATAGCACTCTACACATGCAGTGAATGCAAGTGACCTTGAACACACTTTGTTCCTCACCTGAAATGTGTACATTGTTTCGTAAATTGAAAGTTTGATATTCCTGAGTCCATCCCACTTCACTTTGCCATCCTCTGTTTTGCCGTTGTAACTGATTCCAGAAATGATACAGCTACCCTCCTACAAAAAGAGAAGTAAATGTGAAACTAAAGACTACCTCTTCATTTCTCAAAAGAACAACTCGTGTAGAGAAAAGCACGAGCTGCAGATAAACATTCAAACAGAAAGTTGAGAAAACTGTTAAACGTTCTCAAAACAGCGCAATTTTAAGTACTTGCGAGAACTAACTTTTTTGTCAACGCTCAGGAAAATCAAAAGAACAGTTTCTGTTTTTATTACATATACATGTACCTTGTTCTACAGGGCTGTTGCACGCATATACAGTTTATTCAGAAGTTTTAAGAAGGTAGTAACTGAACTTCTCGTACTTACCGAGAGAAGCCAGACCGCAAGGTACTTTGAAAAAGCCACTTTGTTGAAAAAAATCATGAACCACACTCTTCCAAGGAATGAAAACCGCTGTACAAGAGATCGAATGAAATGCATAAGATCAATAACTCATTTTTTTATATGGCTCTGTCTCATGAGGACTGGGAACTATCAAATTCACGAATTTGATTGGCTCAAATCGATATTGAAAGCGGTCTAGATTTTCCCATCTAGACCGGCTTCTAGACCGGTAATTTTTTGCAGTGAAAAAAAAGTTACAAACTAAAATGCAAAATCATTTACTATTTTCATCCAACAATATTTTATTTATGGAAGTGCCAAAAAGCTGATGAGAAAAAAACAGTGAAGAGGACGAGCAAACTTTGGCAGAATTAAATTCAGCTCATCGCCGTTCGCAAGCGAAATGTCAGCTAGTATAAACCAGTCACATTAAACGAATTCAAATGCTCTTGTTTGCGCCATATAATAACCATCTTATTAACCGAGCTTAGTCGGTCTGTATGGGAGAATCTTGACCTCGGTCGTGAGTACAGACCATACTGCGTTCGGTCTGTACTCACGACCACGGTCAAGATTCTCCCATACAGACCGACTAAGCTCGGTTAACAAGAGCTAAGTACTACACTGTCCATTTATTTATTATCCAACTGCAGCGAATATCGTCCAAATAACAGTACAAATATACAGCGATACTGCACAGTAGAAAACCTGTTTGCCGTATTTGTACAGTAGAAAACCTGTTTGCCGTACAGGTCGGCGCGCGCACGCAAAACCGTCACACTCTCCCTCTTTCATTGATAAATTTATTGAATACAGCAGTTGGATAATAAATCCCTTGTTAGATGTTTTGGTGTGTAGTATCGCTGTATATTTTTACTCGTTGTTTGTAATATGCAGCGATACTACACACCAAAACATCTAATAAGATATATGCACTACACTGTTCATTTATTTATTATTACTTTTTTTGGCAGGAACGTCTGATTTTTGGACGAAGGCTTAATCAACGTTCTTACTTTTATTCTTAATTTACTAATTTTTTTTTCTAACTACTGTACACTGTAAAAATTCAATTTAGCGCCAGGGGCGTTAATTTACTTTTGGTCCCTCAAAGGAAGGTGCTTATTGGAGAGGGGCGCTTATTAGTGATGGGGCAGTTTATTTCCTGTTAGACATACCCATCTGAATGTGATGAAAGTGCCTTAATACAGCCGTACGAAAACGCGACGGAAACTCTATCTGAAGACTGACTGTTGCTGTAAGAGTTTCCGTAGTCATAACTCAGTTTGATTCATTATTTCAAATCAATATGTTCAATATTAAATTCAGATGTGAAAACAGGCTGCATAATTCACTTGGCTAGTCGGTTTTTTCTACGTCAATCTCTTGAATGAAGTCGCAATATACAATGTAAGGTAATGTAATGGGTTTGCTTATTGGAAGGGGGCGCTTAATGGAATAAAGGTGCTTATAAAAAAAACTGAAAGATGGCACTCAATAGGAAGTGCTCATTAGAACATGTGCATTTATTAAAAGGAGGGTGATAACTTGAACATTACAGTAATTATTACAGTCTAGTACTGTTTTATATACTAAGACAACACATTTGACATTTACAAACCTGATATTCGTCAGATAAAAGAATATTGGCTGAGAACCACGGCTCCAACACGGCAAAAAGACCAAGGTACATGATACCTAGAGACATGCGCTTCAAACCCTCTGCAACGCTGCACAGCAGAAAAATACAAATTAGAACAAAATAATATCACCATTTATGCAAGGAAAATAAGCCATGGCTTACAGCCCTTTATGACTGAAAAGCTTCTCTCTTACTAATAAAAACTGACCAGGTACATACAAAAACAATATAGGACTCTTAGCTAGTATTACTTACACATGTAAATGTATCAAACCTGCAATTCAAAATGCAGTCTCGCAAAACTGACCATCTTGAAAACCTTCCATGACCTCAATGGATCTTAGAGAGATCTAACAACATCTGATATGATAGCAATCTTACAAAGATCTTGGCAAAGATCACGTTTCTCGCAGATTTGAGGAGCATTTTTCCCACCAGGAACTTAAACCTAGCTTGCAGGATCTTTGAGGATCTCAGTTAATATATAAATAATCAAGATAAATAACCTTTATGAACCCTCTGCCTCAGTCACTGTTTGTAGCCAAAGGCTAGTAGAGCTGAGCAATTTTTGCAGGATCATTGCAATGTGATGACCCTGGCCAGGTTTGAACCCAAACTAATGCTTCTCAATCCAGAATATTACACATGCACTAAGGCACCATTTGTACCTCTTACATTAATTTCCAAAAGGATGAGTACAGCAGAAATAATATACATGTACATATAGTAAAAACAGAAAAATAGAGGGATTCGGCTAATGTGTTTCCATCCTTGTTGCCGCTCAATTCAGATCATGACATGATAATTCATTTGGAAGGTTACAGTTGTTCAATTTGCCGCATGCAAAGGTCTGATTGGTTGGTAGTATGTGCAAACAGCACAATTATTGTAACCTCCCAAATGCATCATCACATCAGGGCTGTCATTAAGGGCTGTAACCCGTAACACCTGTTATATGGCTAGCTCTGTGAGCGGGCAAGATGAATCAAATCGTGCGCTGTGATTGGCTACCCGAGCGGGCAAGATGGTGCTATTTTGCCTGCTCTGGACTATGCGCTGTGTCCTGCAAGAAAAATTTCCCTGAGAGCCATATAATAAATCTTTTATTGCCCAAGTGTGAGGTCAAGATGGCTGGATATTGGCTTCATTCTTTTTTTTTACGAGTTTATGGATCAGTCCATAAACTCGCAAAAAAAGAACTTGACCAATATCAAGCCATCTTGACCTCACACTTGGTCAGTAACCCATATTTATGGCTGAGTATGCTTGATTTTCCCTTGATGCTACATGTGAAATTGCCTGTTGCTAAAACAATTCACCCACAAAGTAACAAGTTTGATATGGGTATGGTGATTCAAAGCTTAATGAAAGCCCTGCAGATGATCTGATTTGGATGGTAACAAAGATGTACATACATGCTAGTTGAGTCCATCTATGGTAATATTAACTTGTCTCTCATTGCTTACCGTCCATTGTCATCATCTTTCTTATCTAAAAGTGTTCCATTCACAAATGATAAATACGCCTTAATCTGAAACTAGATAAAAACAAACAAACAAAAAAACAATTCAATGACTAATCTTGAAAATCTTAGTATTACTATACCGCTCTAAAGACAAGACTTGTGAACTCTTATTTATATTGAAAAGAAACTTCAAATTACTTAGAATGTTCTTCAAGCCATAATTATGAACTAGTGGATTATGGTTCTTTATGTTCCTGTACGTGTTTTATATTCTGAAGTTATGATAGATCACCACGCAAGGCAGTAGATTAAAGGATAAAAAGTAATAATGATCGAACTTTTATTTGAAGAGCCAGAAGNGAGGCCACTGCCCACAAATTATGTACTAATTAAAACAAGAAAAGTTCTTGGTAATGCACACACTACATGACATATAACTGATTTTAGTATGATGCAAAAAAAAATTATTTCAGTTCATTGAAAGTAAGCTGTATTCAAGTTTGATTTATGCTTGAAACATTTCAGACCATTATGATATTTATTTAATATGTCTGATATTCACTATCATTAATTTTATAACCTGAATAAAAAGGAACAAGACAGTCACGCTGGGGTAAAAAAATACTTACTATGCACAAAATAACTTTACAATACAAGTCACAAGGAACATACTTAACAGCCTCAGACACAGAATACACTGTGGTGTTGTCCAGTTGACATCATATTCTCCTGATGCATAGTACACATAACCACTCAACAAATAACCCTGCATGACCACAGAGAAAGTTTATAATAAGCTGAGACGCTTAACTTGGGTACATGTAGGTGCTAGAACTTTGGTCCTTTACAAAGGGAACGAATCTGAGCTAACAAAAGGTTTTGTCTCAAATCAAAACTGTTGTTTGATGTTAAACTATTTTACAGGCATGAAGTTCAGAAAATCTTGCCTGGTTTGAATGCTGGGCATACTGTTTTGGTTTTTTAGGCTTTCAAATTTTCCACATATTGGGCCACTAGACCAATGTTTGTAAGTTTTCCCAAACTGTGGCTTGATGGGGGGGGGGGGGGG